GAACACTTAGGGTACAGTCAGAACTCATCTATGGGTGTGAGTATGAACATTCAGGATATAGTCAGAACTCATCTATGTGTAAGTATGAACACTTAGGGTCCAGTCAGAATTCATCTATGGGTGTGAGTATGAATACTTAGGGTCCAGTCGGAACTCATCTATGGGTGAGTATGAACACTTAGGGTCCAATCAGAACTCATCTATGTGTGTGAGTATGAACACTCAGGATATAGTCAGAACTCATCTATGGGTATGAGTATGAAAACTTAGGGTACAGTCAGAACTCATCTATGTGTAAGTATGAACATTCAGGATATAGTCAGAACTCATCTATGTGTAAGTATGAACACTTAGGGTCCAGTCAGAATTCATCTATGAGTGTGAGTATGAACACTTAGGGTCCAGTCAGAATTCATCTATGGGTGAGTATGAACACTTAGGGTCCAGTCAGAACTCATTTAAGGGTGTGAGTATGAACACTCAGGATATAGTCAAAAATCATTTTGATTCTGTAAAATGGCAATAATGCAGTATCGTCTCAGGCATATGACCTCTCCAGAAGCTGTGGTTGGCTGGGTTCACTGTACCAGGCATGAATCCACTCCCATGAGCTGTCCTTCAATCCAATTTCACAGCTATTGGTTGCCCCAAGATAAAAGTACCACTATTGCCCCATCGGGGATATCCCGTCAAGTCGTTTGTTGTGGTTGTTACAGATTTGACAGCTAGGCAGGATTATTGATTGTTTTCTGACCTTGATGGCTTGCATAGCACCTTATGACTCTATGAGAGTTAGACCTCCAGGTCAGTTCTGGATCAGTTAATTCCAAACCCTATGTTCTATGTGTGTGGTGTCTTCAGCAGTGGAATCTTTTCTTCAAGGTCTTGGAGACAATTGAGGCAATTATAATAACCTCTCTTTGCAGGGAGTCTCTTGGGTCCCCATGACCAACAATTCAAAGAGAAGTTTCCTATGCCTGGCACTAGGATTCTTGTTAAATAATTTATAACTGTTGCAGAAGGAGTATCATCATTCTGTGTGGTATAATTCTATTTAAACTCTGTGTGTGTGTATGTGTATGTATGGTGTGTGTGTGTTTATGTATTCATATGTACACACACATATATATATATATATATATAGTATATGTGTCCTTTAAGTAAGCTCATAAAGAATGTTTCCCTATGGCTTTAGCAAGCATGCTTATTTTTATTTATCTCTGCTTCTCTCCTCTCCATTTGTTAAATTTCCCCTGCCCTATTTTCCTCTTAGTGTCCTAATATCCCCAACTCTAGAGTTTGTGCACACACACACACACGCACACGACAGTTTCTATGTTCCTGGTTTCTTCAGTTACTACAAGTTATGTAATCAAATCTAAAGATTCGATTGGGTTCTAGGATCCACAAATAAGAAAAGACCATGAGGCATTTGCCTTTCTTGGTCCGGGTTACTTTACTCAATATAATATTTTCCATTTCTATCCATTTATCTTCAAATTTCATGATTTCATTTTTCTTTAAAGCTGAATAGAATCCACTGTGTATGTGTACCACATTTTCTTGGCATGTACCCTAAGGACTCAATAGCCTCCTACAGAGTTCCCTACTCAGTCATGTTCAATAGTGTTCTAATCACAGTATCTGGAAAATGGAAAAAACTTCAGTGTCCTTCAACTGATGAATATATATATTAAATATTTTTAAATATTCAAAGTAATTTAGAAATTTTTCAAATATAGTTTAGACTCAAAGATTTTTTGCATCGTCCAAAATAAATTAATTCTGTTTTTGAAAACTGCATTTTTGGATTACAGATAATCTGTTGTAAATTATGAAGAGTATCCTCTGTGCTGTGCTGAGAGAGCCAGCATGTGAAAACATCTTCACATCGCCAGCTCACTGTATTTAAATCCACCCCAAGTACTTGTAATCTGTTGTATAGTCACAACAAAATTGGCTCTGATTACCACCTAATTTGAATCTCTCTTTAACTAAATTTGTGCCATTGGCTAATGGTGGTGGTATTGCCTGCCACTAATTACATTTTACAGTATAGGGCACAGATATTATAATCCATTCGTTTACCATCCATTTTCCCCATTCACATGTATCTTAGTGCCTGTTTGGGTCGAGACATTGTTTTACAGTCTATGACTATGACAAATGGCCAAAGTTTTTTTTTTTTCTCAGAAAGCTTGATCTTTTATTTGAGAAATATTTGTAAATAAATAACCTTAACAACACACAAAAGAAACAAAAGCTCTAACCTAAGTATAAACAACAGCCATGAGGGCTCATAGAAGGGCAATGTTCTAAGTGAAAAAGAATTTGGAACCAGGTATGATGGCATGTGCCTGTAATCACGGAACTTCTTGGGCTAGGGCAGGAAGATGATGGGTCAAAGACAGCCTGGACTACATAGTCAGACTGTCTCAAAGCAAAGCAAAGCAAAGCAAAGCAAAGCAAAGCAAAGGAAAGGAAAGGAAAGGAAAGGAAAGGAAAGAAAAGAAAAGAAAAGAAAAGAAAAGAAAAGAAAAGAAAAGAAAAGAAAAGAAAAGA